TGAATGTTTAAATAGTGAAAAAGATTCGATAACTTGTACAGGTTTTATTCACTTAAGAAACAGTTTACATAAGGTTGTAATAGCACCATTTCACTTTAATTTTTCACGCAAGATGAAGTAAACGTTTCTCTGCGTCTTCTGAACTCATTTGGTTTAGAATTTGAGGATCTGATTAGGTCTGTTAGAACTTATCATCACGATGTATAAAACACCTTATGAAAACTAATACTTCCTGGGACATACTTCCAAACATACATCACTCAGGCTGAATTTAGAAGCATCAACACTAATTTAATGAAGAAACATCAATTTTGGCTGATCATCATCTTGCGTTAAACTAATGTCACTGACTTATCCTAAGTATTATTTCGAGTTTACTGATTACAATCTCAGTTTGACTGTCAGGCTATGCAGTGTAATATAACTGATGTTAGTACCAGTCAAGCAGAAGAAAGCAACGGTTGACCAGGACTTCCTCACCAGGAAGGTTTATCAACGATTCTGAAGGATGTGGTGCTCACTTACCGATCCACAACCGCATCATAGACCAGTTAGCAGACGTAATTTTTTCCTAAAGAAGGTAAGTTTGTATTGAAACTGCTAGAATGTTCAACAGCAATTTTACTTAGCCCTTTTGTCTTTAATGAAGCAGGCGTTCCTGTGAGTGATCTTGCACAACTTACTGATGAAAGTCATTTTTAATGTTAGCGCAAAGCCCGATGACAGCTGATTGAAAACAATATTGTTCGCTTTTATGCCTTCTATCAACATCAAATGCAACTTGGTACATTATCATGTTGAACTTAAAAGCTTACCAACTAAACTGAAAACTTGATCATTAAAAATAACCCAGTACTGGAGGCTTGAAAATATGATGCTGCTTAATCTCCAGTATCTCTTTGATAAGCCATCATTAACATTGATGAATTATTATCATGCACTAGAAAGAATTGTAGGGCTTCTGATATTACCTCATATTATCTGTAAACGGTTCTGGAACTAAAATAATTGTACACCATTATTTTCTAAGTTCGGATAGATATACATATAGGCGTACTTCATAGTACTTTGATTACTAATATAATTTCGCATTAGAATAGGGAAGACTGTAACGTCCCATTTAATACTGTCAAAGCCCTTCGTTTTATGAACTGAACTATTGTATCACGGTTACTAGCGATGAATCAAAGTATAGTCATCTCAGTTCTGAATGAACGGATTCTGAATTTTTGATCAGATGACCATTCTATAAGAATAATAATAATCACATGCAACAAATAGCCCTTTCAGATGAAATCAACAAAAATACTTTGTTGAATACTGGCTGTAGCTGGCAACAAATAAAGAAGGCTGTAAGAGCGCAGTACTGGAAACTGAAGAGTATGACTTTGCTTACCAAAATTCTTCGTAGCGTAGAAGAAATCCATACCGTTTTTGTAATCTCCTGCTAAACGTCTATCGATTACGATTTTGATGTTACAAATAAATGATCCTGCCTAAAGTCGGTGATTTCAGATATAGTCATAATGAAACGCCACTCCAACTTTCAAGTAGGTAAGCAGGGCTAATCAAAAAAAGGCATCTGAGATACTCCGTACTGATAAACAGACAAAGTTCATCTCTCACAGTTTTGTTTCGATAACGGCCTGCTTCTGTTCAGCAAGAACTTCAAGCAAAAGTAGAGATATTATCTTCCTTAGCATCGGCCGACATCAAAGCAGTGGGGGCAAGAATGGATCATAATGCAAAAACAATGTCGGTTGTAGACTGTGTCTCTGCTTGGACTTTGATCGTGTGTTAGTGATGGCATGTGTATTCTTGTACCTTAATAGGAATGGAAAGTTAACAGCAGTTAGGCCTCTGCTTTCATGACTGGGAGATGAGAATGTGGAGTGCTTTTTAAAGATATAGCTAAGCATTTATCTGAACATGGTAGCAATTATTTACCTGAAGGAGCTTGGTGCAGTATTCAACCTGTTGTAGAAATAGTGATAAAGAGAACTGGTAACCATCATTGGACGTTTAGTGAGGGCCAGTAGATTTCAGCAAACCTATCTGAACCTACTGATTCATGGCAGAAATGGCTTATACATAAATTGACTAGTAGTTGAAGCAGTGACAGTGAGCCATGTTGGGTAATGAAAGCGAAACAGATAGATAGGGCTTCGGCATTGGGTGATACGCAGCAATCATTCTGGCTTGCTAAAGAAAGCATCAGGATGAAGACTGCACTCAGTGAAGCGATAACTGCAAAGTATGGGCCACTGACAGCCTCTCAAAAATGACGCCGTGAACAGCAATTAATCAGGCCTGCAGTCACAGTAGTTGCTTACAATCAATTCCAAAGTTGGATGCAAAATATGTCTATGATAAGTGCTTAGTGTTCACTATGTTTTGAGGTTTATTCTGTTTATGAATTTAATACTGAGTAAGATGCCTAGCTTAGTGGTGAAACGCCCTAATACACATCCCATATCTCAGAGAACACAAAACATTTATCCTCCCTATCCCGAGCTACAAATCTTCTTTTGCTGATCTCTGTCACACAACTTCACTCAGATTTGAGAAGGCTATTTCAAATTTATAAGAACGTAAATTAGATGAGCCTGATGGTTCACCAACAGAAGTTTTAAAGACTGAGGTAGAAATTTACTCACCGGAATAAATGAGATAATTGAGGTCAGCAAAGTTAAGAGGATCAGACAGGTTTTGGATAGAGATAAGGGTGAATCGATTCAGTATTCTCCCTTTGATGGGTTTTAGAATACAGGAGTACGTACTGATTGCTATTATTTGCCATATTTCCTAATCTAAAGGTGACACTGCGCTACATTATCGAGTTGTTACTGTTATATTTGACTGGAAAATGGGTACCAACCAAATGTTGTAAGCTAAACAAGGCTTTCTAATGGAACTCATAGATCCGTGAAAGCGTTAATGTAAGTTTTTCCACTGAGGGATTGACCATCTGTAAAGTAACATAACAATCCTACCGCCATTTTTACCTAGCTTTTTCACGGACATGTTGATCAACACAACCTTGTATAACTTCGGATTCTCAAGGATTGATTGACTTCCTGGAATTCACATGAATGACATACAGTATACAGATGATATATTCCTTTTGGACGAAGATTCTGACAGAATTTAAGGCCTTTTGAATGCCTTGAGGAGAAAACTATGTTTATCAAGCTTCTTTTTTCATCTATCAGAAGTAAAATGGTACATGACAACTGATTCTCACTGGCATTTTACTCAAGGATATAGGAAACAAAGGTGTAATCTGTCAATTGCTTTACTTTCTAGGTGTAACTTATTGATAAAACCTCAGCTTGGATAAAAAAACCGTTCAGCATTTTTCAACTAACGTGACACCTGGTACCAGTGAGATCTTCAACAACGTATTGGAAGATCATTTTATTGTGTACTGCAACATTGTCCTCCCTTACCCGTTTGAAGCAGCATCTGAGGGCGATAGATAGGAAAAGGTTACAGTTTTTTATCACAGGTGTCGATGCGACATGGTGCGGCTCAATCCCTATGGGGGCAGAGCCAACGCAGTGTAAGTAGAACGTTCGATGAGGTTGTCAGCCTTTACACACTGAGTAAATACGGGCTTACGTTGCGCATACTGAGTCACTGACGTCCTCAATGTACAATGTCCGTTGAAATACCACTTGTTTAATAAAAGGCTACCGAAGGTAGTTCGGTGTTGTGAAACCAGTCCTTGACGTCTTTGGATGTTGATGTAAGCGGTGTATTTTGTCTAGCTGGACTCCTAAAAGGGTAGCATGTCATATCTCCGGTGTCTTGAACACTTTCACAAAAGTTAATCTATTCCTGTCCTCTGAAGTCCATCTTCATATAAGTCTGTTTCCATTCATACGTTTTTGCATACGTCTGGCAATGGTGGTAACTTGAAATGATTCATTTCTGTTTCAGGTTTTTTTACTGACTTGCTTGGTCTAGTCGGAACTGTATTCATGAGCATCAAATCAACTGCAAAATAGGATTAAATCCTACAACCTTCGATTCTTGGTTGCTTAACTAGTTATATTTCACATTTTATTCCATTGATAGCTCATAATTTCAATGGAAGACCACTCTTATAAAATCAAGATCAAAAAAGATTTCTGAAGCAATTTTTTTGGTTTGGATAGCTATGAGTATTTTTCTGTACACTGTGTATACAAATAAAGTAATTATGATGTACTGCAAATATGAGTTAGCTTCTTCCTACCTCTGTCGAACACCTAACAGTAACTTGAAGGAATGATCACAATTTCTGTGTACTGTTTAAAACTTTTAAATCTAAAATAAAATACAGTAGAATAGTAATCTTACATGTCATAGTGAGTGAAATTATTATCATCAATAAGTCTGTAGTTGTAATAGTATAAATGATAATATTTGAATAGCAGTATAGGTATCACTAGTAGTATTAGTAATAATAAGAGTGGTAACATTAATAATATAATTTGTATTCTGCATGATCTTTTAGTTTTCGTATTTTGTCACCCATATGTACTATAGGAATACAAAAAAGGAAAGAAGTGCTAAGCGAATAAATAGAATGAAAAGGAAATACAGATAGAATGCACAAAATAAACCAGCCATTTAGCCTTACAATCTACTATTTATAATGGTAATGCAGGTAGCAGTATTAGTAGTAATAAAGGTGACACCTTTAATAACTTTGCCTATTTCGAAAATTAAAGTGTTTAGAAATACTTCATCCTAACTTATAAGTGTAAAAGAGAGAAAAGAAAATAGGTTCCTCATCAGGTTTGTGGATTTTTTTAACACCGCATGTGGGAGTACACTTTCATGTGTATCTTGTATGTATGTGTGTGTGTGTATGACAGGCCTTTATTGTTAATATTTTACATGTCTTGTGTATATTTCCTTTTCAACTGGATGATCGGCCGATTCCATGTAATATAGGCTAATAAGCCAAATCCAATTACCCTAATATTCATGATAATAATAAAAACAATGAGTTATACATAATTCATTCGTTTCGTAATTGGTTTATTACTATTACTAAGCTTTTTGTTGTTGTTAGTATTGTTATTATTACAATTAACTGATGCATTTGTTATTCGTGATTTTGAAGCTGTTGGTGATATAGATTGTCTTCGGATAGTAATAGTTTCACATTTATTCTGAAATTTAGTCTTTAATGTCATTGATTTCATTTCTAAATTCGAGTCTTCTTGTTCATCATCTCCATCTTCTCCACTTGAAAGAATTTCATAATCATTTTGAATAATTTCTGGAACATTTGGTGCTGTGAAAGATGGTAATTCAGATGCAATTTGTATAGAGTTAGGAAATATCTCTTCAGAGACTATAGACATTCTTGAATAAACTTGATGATATTCAACAGCTTTATTAACTAACTCATTAGGATCTGTAGATAATGAAGTACAAACTGGTTGTAGTGAACTTGTACCATTCTTATTACTAGTGTCATATACATGACTGACTGAAGATAGAGCATCATCTAGTTCTTCTGCATCCACCCATATTTGTGGTGTTGAAATTGATGATAATTGAGATGGTAGAAGTGAATTTAAAAATTGATCTGTTGCTAAGGGATATATTAAACTAGGCCTGTGTTCATTTTCTAATTTATCACCATTCAATTTCATATTGCATGGTATAAGATTAGTTGATGAGTTAATTTGATTTCTATAACTAATCCTTCTTTCAGTCATTTCAGATACTGTTGTTTTACAAGTGAATGAATTTGGAAATTTTTGATTCTCTGTTAATAGCTGCATAGAATCAGTGGTATTTGTTTTAGGCACACCGATTGGTTTGCATTTTTTCCTATGAATTAAACGGGTTGGTAATAAACGTTTTATGAATCGTGTACACACCTCTATCATAGTCATTAGACTATTTTTCATACGATCATTCTTGGTAATTTTATCACCTCGAATATTTCTTCGATTAATATTACGTGGTTTTCTGCCTGGTAATGGTAAACCACCTTTTTCAGCGGCTACACCAATACCTGATTTTGTTCCACTTACACCTCCTGTTGCCTCCATATCTTTACGTAATGTTTTTAGATATTTGTCTTCCATTAACTGATTTTTCATATATTTGTAATATGTGTTAAAATTATTTCCAACTATTGGTATTGCTAGACCGGTTACAATACATCCAGATATTGCTGTCAGTGAACCAACAAAATAACCTGCTCCACCTTTAGGATGCATATCACCATAACCAACTGCTGTTAGTGTGATTATTGACCACCAAAATGATTGTGGTATATCAGGAAATGTATCATTAACACGATATTCAGCTATATACATCATTGATGAGAACAAAAACATTCCATTCATTAATAAGAATCCCAGTAACACTAATTCGGGTATACTCTTTTTCACTGTCAATATGAGTACCCTTAATCCACGTGATATTTTTGAAATTTTAAATACACGTAATATTCTTAATGCTTGAGTCATTGATAAAATGTTCAATAGCCATAAATACCCGGATAGTTCAATTTTTTAATTGTACACTATCTGTCATTGAGTTTTTTGGATAATAGTAATAATAATAGAATAATGACATATACACCCAATAACTAATTAATATCACCATATCAAATATTGATACAATAGATGAAAGAAATTTTGGTTTATCTGGCGCAAGTAGAACTTTGAGCAGAAATTCAAGAGTGAATAAGCAATTTAACGAGATATCAAAGAAAACAAGACCTTCTGAAGGTTCAGTGGAACAGTCTTTTTGTATTTTAGGGTTTGGATGCCATAATGAATCATAACATATAGATATAGGATTGTTAACAGTTGTATTTACTTGTATATTTGTACTTGTAATAACCGAAGCAGGTGTAGGTGAATTTGTATGATATGGTAGTCGATTTGTGGGTGATACCTGCACTACGTAATCATTGTGTCCATTATGGGATGTAGGTGTGGATGAGATGATAGACTGTAAATCTGTGTTCGATGTGATAACTGTAGATCGTGTTCGGAAGACTTCATGTGTAGACAAACAGTAGCACATCATAGAAGCGATCATTAAAACAAGTAGAACGGATGCCCATATCTGTGAAAGTGAGAAGTTTGAATGGAAAATAAAATCATTTATCAGGAATTTAATGAGCATATATATATTTACCGAAGATCAGGATTTTTCCGATTCAAAGAAAAGCACACAACTAAAGCATGTTATTGATTACTTTTGTGGCAATTATTCCTGTATAGTGTTTCATATTTCGGTATTACAACATTTAATTATTGGTAAAATTAGGTCGACAATTTCTCGACGGCTACACATACCAAATGCCCTATTTGCCACCCATCTCCTTTGATGTTCATATATGGGCTGTTGCACATGATGGACAGCGTTAGGTGATTCTTGTTATTCATCTGAAGGTTGATAATGAATTAGATTTTAGCCTACCTGTTTTATTGATGTTGGTCGGTGATGAACAGTGCCTTGATACGAATAAAATCCCTATAGACCTCAAACTAAACTACTGTAAAGCGCTCATTAGTGACTTGTTTTGAAATGGACATTCCGGAGTTGTAATGCGAAGCCTTGACCTTTGAAATCAACCAGTCAGAAGTGAAGTGGATGCCAATACTATATCACGAATTAACAGAGGTAAGAAGCTGTGAACCATTCAACTCTGACTGAGTGATTGGATCGTCAGAGCACCCAAAGCGAGACACAGAGGTCCCAAGTCCCATCTCTGGTGGGGTCGTAGAAGAATGCTGCTGAGGAGCCCCATACTACAACGAAACGACTGTGCAGTTCTCCATATTTTCAGTGGTTTTCTAACTGATGCCAGCTCGTGATGAATTCTACCTTAGAGTAAAAATCCCATAGACCACAAACAGTATTTTTCAATGGTACTTTGAACCAAGGGATAATAGATCTGTACTTGCTTTTCTAAATATTTCAAAAAACCTATGCATTTAGAAAACTGATCCAATGTTAATTGATTTCATCACTTATATACACCTATTTTACTATTATAACTTGTGATGATCTAAGTCCTAATAAGGGATGCTGAAAAGGAGAGTATGGAGTGTGGATTGACATAGCTTAGTCAATTAACTCATATTGTGAAACTCTTATTTCGCGGCCATATATATTAGCCAACTTTTCACCAAATAGTTATTATTTCATAAATCAGATGTGTTACTCTTCTTTCATGCCTTAGTAGCATAGTTCCGAAAATGTATCTTGTACAGAATTAGTGTTTCGTCTACAACAAGTGCAAATTCAATGTTAGTCAGTTATTTAGATTATACGATGATCGTATAAGGAATTCAGACTACTCAAATTAACTCATAAGTGTATGATCTCGGTGATACATTTAATAAGTTCTGTCAATGAAATGAATGTAGAACAAAGTCCACTCAATAGATGGACTTTTGCTTGAACACATAACTCTATTACTTTAGCAAATAGTTAGCTTGGTAACAGAAACCTAACGGTTTGTGAACGTGGTGGCCTGTCACTTAGTGTAGGAGTGTAGGTAAATATTCACTGTTGAACAAATATTTTTCCAAACTACTAAGTCTTAACAAATGACAGAAGCGGACTGAATACGTACATACCTTAAGGTTGACTATTATCAGAGGAAGATCCATAGGTAGACACTTCCAAGTTCTAGCCGAAAAGAAACAGAAATACTGTCAGCTAATTCCATCCTACAAGGAATAAATACTTACAAAATGCAACCGATAAAATAGCGTAAAATAGCTCAGTTGACTGGTAAGATCAGAGTGTGCGAATTTATTCAGACTGGATTTTAAAAGCAGCGGCAAATTGACTTGAGAACACAATAACAAAAGAGCAGTCTGGTTTGTTAGGTCCAGTGACAATTCTATTTTCCAAAGACCACCTTCAATAAAATTCATAATAAAGCTCCCCAACATATAAGTGAGTATCATTTTGACTATCTGAGATAGCCGTGGTTTGGCAGACTAGTACTGGTACTGGGTGATGAATTAAGGTGAGGCGAAAATTTGAACCAAATCCGGATTCAAACCAGTGACCCCTGGGTTTCCAACCCAATGCTCTATTAACTGAGGTACTAGATCCAACTGCTGATCAGATTTTCACTTCAGCCACCAAGGTAACAGTGTGAATACGACCAGGCGACAGTAATGTGTCATGAATTCGCATGGTAGTCTGGTAAAATCCTTAATGATTGAAGTGAAATAAAAATTTAGTAGGCAGTTGGACTTCGTAACTCAGTTGTTAGAGCATCGAGTTGGAGATCCAGTGGTCGCTGGTTCGAATCCGGACTTGGTTCAAATTTTCTTTTCACCTTCAGTCATCACTCAGTATCAATATGAGTGAATAGTTTAGTTAATGATAGGCGTCAAGAATGAAACTCTTGTATAGATTTGTTTATAAGATTTGATCAATATATCTTCCAACTAATTTCATATTAACTAGCTTTATCATTAGTGGCTAGAAAAAGTTATAAATAAATAAATTAACTATAAAATAATAAGGAATAACTATGGAGAAGACAATAATGCGAAAGAATGCATTTCACTCTTTTCCCTGTTATTTTTTCCACCTTATTGTCTGTCAATAACAATAGGGCAGAAAAAATAAATACTGACTTTTAGGTGATTATTATTAAAGCCAGATTTCTTATGCAGTAGATAACATATATGTATCGAAGCATCCGCATCCATATCTTAGAATAGATGTTAGCATTTTATTTCACTGTCTTAATAAAGGCAATTCTTGTAAAACTAAGTTTGATAACAGCTCTTTATTTAGCAATGACCAAGAGCTGCTAATTTAATGAAATTGTTAGGCTTCTGAATTGCAGAAAATTAAGAAACTGTACTAGTTGATACAATTATTCCTCGAGATTCTATCATACCAAAAAGGTTTGTTAGACAACTCTATGACAAATATCAATAACGTTCACATTGTAAATGTCTTCTGTAGTTTTTAGTATCTGAAGGCGAAGTCGTACCGATGTTCGAATGTAGCCCGATTGCACTAAAGTTTTTCCAAATGAGAACAAGCGTTTCATGTTGATTTCGTCTTCCCTTATCAAAACAGCTGGATCAAAAACGCCAGCTACAAAAGGCACACTTTTCTCCGTCCAACAGACTTCTTGCACCAATGTCTTTGATTTTGGCCATACGAGTATGTCACTACACAATCTTGATCCAAAATTCTGGTATTGGTTCTTCATTACAAGCCTTAATTAGATTTTAGAGAAGCCATATGGTCACATCCTCATACTGATAAGGGATTGTTTAATAATACACTTTTTTACTTCAGGGAGAACGCTTCCATCATGTAGCCAGCCATGAAGTATTAACTACTCTCATTCCTTCGTCAATGCTCAAAGCTCTTCACATTGTCATCGTACTTCCACATTCCTTCACATTTCCTCATCATTGATTCCACGTCATTTTTAACTTATTTGGGAGCTGCAATTCATGGAAATCATTGCAGTTCACAGAATGGTATTTTTGGTTTCCTAAAATGACCCCCTTAACTACTCACTGAAGCTTTCACTGTCCACATGCCTCATCAAGTTGGAAGACAACACTTGCTATCCAAAAGGCTTAAATTTTGGGCCATGGACATGCATTGTACTTGTGAGATACTCATGTGGGATAGAAGTAGAAGTCTTTGCCTGACCTTTTCTGGTCATTATTGCTATTTTGTGAAGTTCATCCTTCCAGTTTCTGAAGACTTCTCAGCCAGTTTTTGTGGTCTTGTGAAGGTCGGTACAACAGTAAGTCCTAATACAGGGATAACGCTCTTAGACCGAGCCTCTGTTTACAATCGTCTTATTAGTGTTGCATTCAGTAGTTCACTACGAACTAGAACAATGCTAAAATAGATCGTTATTTCTTTGTGATGCAGTTCAGGTGAAGTGAGAAATAAGTTTAAACCAAAACTGTCTAATCGCTTATTAAGCGCAAAATCTTCAGATATGATTACCAAACAGAAGTGCCTACAATAATTTGATTGTCCTCAGAAAATGATTTTTTTCCATCCAGCGTACATCCGACTCATAAGGACAGAGATAATGTTTGGTGTAGTTGCCACTGTTCTCAACACGGCAATTGACAAAAAGGGTTGTCACTCTATTTAGCAGCATATACTGAGACAGCAACGGTATACTGATTTGGGCATGCATATATCAGCACATGAAGTGACGTAGAAAAACTGCGATCCAAAAGTTGTTTCGAGAACTAGAATTCTTAAGATGCTTATCAAGAGGAGCTGATTAGAAAGTTATTAGAAAGAAAAAGTACTATTCATCCTGCAAAAACCTAAAGAAATCTCGATTCTACTGTAAAAGTAACTCAAGATTCAGTGACTCAACTCTGTGATGCTTCAGCAGTCCCGATGGGAGATGGTCGACAAAATATTAACATAAATAGAAAAGGACCCAATCTGTTTTTGACCACCTGTGGTAATGCAAGTTATCTTGGGGCCCATTAGAGGTAGACCATGTTGGGCAACAGTCGACTCTGTCCTCCATTTTAGGCGTGAAACGTAATTATTTGAGTTGAAGTGTTTGTAAAGCTGTGAGGCTTCTTATAAAAAGTGATCGTGTTAACTGTAGTTAATAATTTTAGAATTCGTGCTACGAAACTTAGAATCGACCGAAATGGTATTTTCAATGTAGTCCCTCTTTCTTTCAATCATCTGTTGGTGCTATTGCTTCCGTTTCTTTTTCTTTTCCACTGATAACTTTCATTTTGATGTACTGATATGAAATTGAGCAACTTGAATTCTTTTACTATTGTCACAGGTTCTAGGAGTTCAATGTTTGTTTGTTAGTTGGTTGGAGGCAATCGGCAGGAAGCCTTGGACCTAGGTTCGTGCTTCGTGGCACTCGTCAGCAAGGCGTATCTGCAACCTCGACGGAACTGATGTCCCACCTGAGATTCGAACCGGCGTCACCCAGTGTTGTAGTCAGTGACTATACCAACTAACATCTACTAATGTGAACTTCGATGCTGAGCTTCCTAACTTGGTCCCCGTATTGCAAATAAGATCGATAGCAATCGGTTTGCACTCAGGACTAGGTAGCATGA